TTTTCCTCAGTACCGGGAATCGAACTCACGATGTTGTACTTGCCAGGCAGGCACTGTGCCACTGAGCTAAATCCCCAGCCCCTGGTTGATGAGCTTTTGAAAAAGATGTAAAGTCAGTTCAATAGAGAAAGAATGGTCCTTTTGGTAAATGGTGCTGGAATAACTAGAAATCCATATGCAAAAATGTAAACTTAATGTACCAAATACCACATGCAAATATTACCCCAAAATGAATCAGAGGCCTAAATGTAATGTAGAAAAATATGAAACTACCAGGCCTAATGGAAAATGCCTATAATCCCAGAAACTTGACAGTCTGAGGCAGAATGACAGCAATTTAGATAACAGCCTCAGCAAATTAGCAAGGCCGTGTCTCAAAATTAAAAAGGGCTGAGGATGTAGCACAGTAATAGAGAACTTGCCTAGCATGTGTAAGACAAAGAAATGAGAGAGAGCAAGAGACAGAAAGAGACAGAAAAAGAACAGAAGAAATGCAGAGGGAAAATTGTCACGACCTTGGGTTAGCCAGAGTTCTGAGGAAAATCCATCTTTAAAAATGCATACATTAGATTTCATCAAAATTAAAATATGTTGCTCTATGAAGGACATCATTAAAAAATCAGGAGACAGGGAAAATACTTATAAATCACATATTTGTAAATCACATATAACAAAAGATTTATTAACAGAACAAAAGAAGAACTTGTAAAATTCAGCAATAAGAAAATAATCAACCTAATTTTTCTTTTGCAGTGTTGGGGAACTTAATATTTTAATGTGAAAAATATATGAACAAATATTCATCAAAAAATTACATAAATGAAAAATATTAATAGCATTAGAAATTATGAAGTACAAGTTAAAACCATAATGAGGTGTCATTACACAGCTATTAGAATGATGTAAAAACAACAATATCAAGTGCTAAGGAGGATGCTGAGTAACCAGTCCTCTCCTGTTACACAGGAATGTGATATGGCACGCCTACTTGGGGAAACAGTTTGGCAATTTTTTATAAAATTAAACCTACACTTACCAGATGATCCAGAAATCCCACTTCCAGCAACTCATCCATGAGACACAAAAACATGTTCCCAGGAAAGTCTGCAAGCAGATGTTTATAGGAACCAGCCAAAGAAGATAGCTGTCATGCCCAAGGTTACACCCCCTCTTTGCAAAAAGGCTACAGCCAATGAGGGAACACAAGGTTTGGCTTCCTTGCTTCAAGACACAATTTTGTCCAGACATTCCAGCTTCAGCACTCTCTGTAGGGTCAGTTAAAATGCCTATTTTCCTTTAACCCAGCCGTGCTGCTTTCACCCTTCACAAGCATGTTTACTGACACACCCCACAAATAAATATCCACATATAAATCTCAGGATCTCAGAACCTTTTTCTAGGGGATACTAACCTGTGACATAGTAAGAGTAAATTACCTCTAAAAAAAGAAAGCAAAGAGTGGGATTGGGGACAAGAATAGAAAAAATTTAACAGGGTTAATCTTGATGTCTGTTATATTATTGTCTTTTATGTATCTTTGAATTATTTCATAATTTGAGAAATATATGCATGTCTTCTGCAAATACTCTGACACATATTAAAGTAATTCAAGCCAAATATCTCCGCCAGTTATATAGCAATTTCTAGAAAACTCAAAAATGTAATGCAGGTAATAATCTGATCTAGAAGAAAAGCCTTTAAAAATTGAAACACAGGTAAAAATATGAATTGCCTTAGGTATATTTTTCTCTAAAAGTCAGAGAAAAAAAATGTAAAAAAATCTTTAAATCAAAAAAAACCACTTTAATTCTACAATAAAAACAAATAGAAAAAAAGACTATCTCCTACTTTCACAAATATATTTTCTATTTTCACAAACAGATTTTCCTGACCTATGTTTCTTTTCATTTGGATTTTTATAGCAGTTTGCAAGAATAGTAGTACAGAAAAGGAGTTTACATTGCATTTCCCATTTCAAGGGCTGATCAAAAAATAAAGCATGTATTTAAATTTGAAAAATGTATTACATGGGTAGGAGAAGGGTAATAAAAAGAAGCAAGCTATGTTAAGGACATGCACCTATCCCTAAAATGAATATGACATCATGTATTCCAAACATGTACAGTATTAATACAAAAAATATATTACAGTAAAAGATACATTTTCCATTAATTCTCCTCAAAATACTCTCATTCACTTTGAATACACTTATCCTATCATTCTTGCTGTTTTCTGAAGCAGGTTTTCACAAGTCTGGAAGTCTTTCACGAGTGTCTTTACAAATATGGCCAAAAATACAGTGACTGCTGTTGCCAAGTGCCCCCTAAAAGAAAAGCAGGCTTGTAAAACAACACGGTGCATGCTCGTCCACTTTATTCACCAGATCTGGCATCTTGCAATTTCTGACTCTTCCCCAAAGTCAAAATTACCATCCAATGTAAACATTTCAAATCTATTCAGGACATCAAAATAATAACAATAACACAACTAGAGACATTCAGGAAAGAAGGCTTTCAGAACTGCTTCAGAATGATGGAATAAGTTGTTCAAAGCACAAGGGGTATTTTGAGGGGGATTACTGCCAATATGTCTTGTACTGTAATATTTTTTTAAAATTTAAACAGTCACCGTATCTTTTTATCACATTGTGTATCATCTTACTTTATCGTAAAATAGCTTTGGTTATGAATCTCCATGTTGCATGATCCCAACATGAAAATAAACCTTAATTTTACTTACTCCTGGGACTACTTTAAAGAAAACTTCAGATCATTCAAACTACAGGAAGGAAAGTCAAGAAACTGGTAGGGAAACCTGCTGTCTTCCAACCTTACAGAATTTGAAGAAGCTGCTGCCTGTGTAAATCATCAGGGGACAAATTCACCCTTTGCCTCATCACCCTACTCCCCAATTCTAAAACTAGCTGAGGACACTTGAAAGAGCCCTCTTGGTGAGAAGATTCTTTTCCCCTTCCTGATGTGTGTACATGCATGGGTACACACAAAGGAAAGTGTACACATGTTGCTTCAAGTTCACAAGCCTTCAGACAGGTGGGTTTGGAGAAAGGAGTTGCTATATTTAAAGTTACAAAAAAATTAAATAAAATAGAACATCTGCCCACAAGGACTAAACTTCTAAGAGTGCAGATAAAGTGAAGGATAGATTAACCAAAATTCTGTATTTTCAGAACAGATTAAATATTGAAAGGGAAAATCTCCCCCCGCCAAATTTTCTCCTTACATTAATTCTTTTTGTTTAGTTCTCATTCTTAATGTTTTCCCATAGCGAGTAGAATATGAAACAAAGGAGCCGAAACGTAACTCAAAGAAAGAACATTAAAGAGCATAAGAAAGAGAAATGAAGAGTTATTCACTAGAAAAAAGATTGAAATGCTCTGGTAGTGTTTTTTTCCAGAGCTCTGGTGGTGTTTTTTTCCAGGGGATGAGTTAAACCACAGGAGCCTGAGGGAAAGAGTAAAAAGTCGTGGATAAAGGCTAACACCGGGAGAAGGACTTGGGCTAGCAAAGAGGAATGGCTCTGCTGTGCAGCCAGAGGCAGTTTCAAGGCTTGCCATCTGCTTCCTAGGACCCAGGCTATGTCAGAGATTGTTCCTAAGCCTGTGTTCAAAAAGCAAGACAATGTCACCAGATGAGATCTGAATTGAACAAAAACATTTGGGTCTGCCGACACTGGGTTAGTGACCATAATATAAAGCATGCTACATCCAAATCTGCATGTCTTCCTGGGGAAGCAAAAGTCCAGTCTTTTTGCTTTCAAGGAGTTTCTTATCCTATACAGGAAAAAAATCTAAATAAAATGTGTTTTCTTAAATGATAGATTTATGTCTACAATTAACTTATGAGCACTAAGCACTTAAAGGAGACAGAAACCATGGTCAGACTATGGCCAGAATTAGGTAAAGAACAACAGGTAAGTATTTCCCAGAAGAGTTAAGTCTTATACATTTATCTTGAAAGTGGGAGATGTCATAGTTCCATGGAGAAGGATAAAAGGAAGGCACAACGAACAAAAATATTGTCACTCCATACAGCTCCACAGCAGAAATGAAGGGTGTGCTTGAGATACGCATGGCTGAGGCATTTGCCACATTTCCTCTCAAAAAATGTAGCTAAAATGGGAAGCAGTCTGAGGTCTGCAAGTATGACCAGTTGTCCTGCGGCAAATGAATAAAAGAATTCATTGAAAACGGACATGATTACGACTTTAGGTGGGATTGAGGAAAATGGGTTAAAACTGTCAAGAGCCATGAATACTGTGAGGTTTTACTTTACTTACAAGCTGAAAAGTTAGTCTGCAAAAGCCATAGGGTCCTAATCACCCTGGCACAGCAAGTCACACAATCACCATTTTTACTTCAGTTCTACTTACGCTCCAAATGTGGGGAATGATGAAGAGGACCCACATGAACCCTGCCCAGGCAGTGGATTTGCACCTCAGCTGAGGAGCTCTGGACTTACAAAACCCAATGTTTCATAATGGTCAGTCAGCAAACCTGTCTGACCTCTGCTCCAGAGGAAGGCATGATTTTATTATACCAGACAGTACACAAACCTGCATCCTCGAAACAGATCATCCAGAACAAAAAGACAATTAGTGTTTTTGCTGATAAGATATTTAAAAAACGCAAGAGACCTATGAAAATCATCCTCCAAAAAGTGGAGGATAGAAAAGGCCTGCAGAATGAGCACATGGGAAAATCAGCATTAAGCCATAAAAGAATATAACAGAGCAGTAAATGAGGGAGAAATAATATAGCTTTTTTGCAGAAGAATCAGTGAAAATTATTATGACCTAAAGGTCTGAGCATTTGGAAAAAAGGCTGAAGAGAAAAAAGTAGCTGTGAAAAGGTCAAACAAAACTACCCTGTATTAGTTACCTATTGCTGCATAATAAAATTACCCCCAAAACTTAGTGGTGTGCAATAATAGTTGTTCATTACCTCACACAGTTTTGTGGGTCAGGAATTTGGCAGCACTTACCTTGTAGTTCTGGTTCAGGGTCTTTCACGAAGTTGCATTCTGGTCATTGGCAGGGGCTACAGTCACCTGAAGCTTTGACTGGGACTGGCAGATCACTTTCAAGCTGAAGATGCATTCTCACACCTGGCATGTAAGTTTTTGGTGCCGTAAGAAAGCCTCAGTTCCTTACCACACAGATTTCTCCCTGAGGTTTCACATGAGTCCTCATGACATGAAACCTGGTTTTGTCCAGAGCCAGTGATTCAACAAGAGACAGCAAGGCAGAAGCCACAATGCACAATGCCTTTTATGTTCTAGTTCCGGAAGTTGCATACTCTTAACTCCTGCCGCATTCTACTCATTTAGAAGCAAGTCAGAAAGCCTAGCTCCAACTCAAGGGAAGGACAGTTATGCTCCACATACTGAAAACTTTCTGGACAAAGTTTAAAACCACAACACACTGAGTTCAAACATCTATCTGTCATGGTGATGGAGCATACCATCAATAAGCAACAAATGATACCACTCCTAGGGAGATTATAGTTGAAACAAGAGACAGGTCCCAGCTTGAAGAGGAGGAAGATGAAGTAATATACTCAGGTTGTAAAATTTCTATTTTTGTTTTTAATTAAAATTTATTTTTGTGCTATTTCTTACCTCCTTATCCTAACACCAGTAATTCTTTTACTATTTAGAGAAGCGCAGATTTGTTTTGTTTTATTTTTATTAGACTATAGTTCAAGACGATTTTTTTAAAAAGAAAGCACTCCTGTCCAAGCAGAAGGAAAGAATTGATCTAGATGCTGAGGAGAAAATTGTGTTGATCTCTAACAGAGATCTATTATGGAAGGTTACAATCAGTTCCTCTTGGAGTCACAGGGTTCTTGTGGTTGAGTTGAAGAGCCAAAACCCTCTAATCTCTGGAAAAACTGAATTTTCTCCATGGATTTATCTCTTCTAGCTTTTAGGTTCATTGTTTAATAGCACCAGGATAAGTAGATCTGTATTTATGTAGATTACTCAAGTAGTGTATAAAATGAGTAAGTTCAAAGTCAAGGTGTTATGGTTGATACATTGTGTCAACTTGGGGAGTCTAGAGGTTTGGCTAAATGATTCAGCAGGAAGCCAGGGTGCTTATTTTGTATACATCCTGAGCCTGTGGAAGAGGAGGGCGTGGAGATTATGTGAGAGCTACAGGCCCCTTAGATGGGGGTAGCCTGTTTACAATGTAAGGGTGGGAAAGAAGCTGCTTGCCGCCATTCCTCCCTTTTGCTCTGGCTGTTTGCTGTTCGGCTGCCATTCCCCCACTTGCTCTTGTTGCTTTGCTATCTTCTGCTTCGGAGCCAGCCAAGTATGGACTGAAACCTCCACAAACTGTGAGCTAAATAAACCTTTCCTTCCTTCATTTTGAGCGTTGGGTATTTTGTCTCAACAACAAGAGAAAAGTAACCAAGACACAAGGTTACCAAGTAGGATTCTTTCACAATAAACCAAGTATGAAATAATAAAGATCTGAATCCAGGTACAGAATTTTAAAAGAAGGGAGTTTCAAAAGTGGTTTCTAAAATATGATACTTAGAATTTGGTGACTAATTAGAGGTAGGAGATGAGAGAAAGAGGACATGGAGGAAAAATCAGAGGTGTCTGGTTTGTGAAATTTTGTAGGTAGTGAGGTCGACTGAATAGTTATGGATTTCCCAGGACCTTCTTAGTTTAGAAAGTTCCCACACTTGAGAAACCCCGCAATCCCAGGCAATCTGTACATTCAGGCACTGTATGATAGGAATAACAGTAACACATATTGGGAATGCAAGAAAGGGGATGTTTTGGTTGTGAAAAATAAACTTTTGTATGGGAATGTTTCACTTAACATAATACAGAAGTTATAAGGGGCAACAAGTTGGAAACACATTTCTGAAGCCCAGTGGAGAGGCTGGAGCTGGGCATGAAGAATCCTCAGTCATTACATGAGAACTGATGTTGTGGAAGAGAATAAGAACCACCTACAAAGGCTATAGAGTTGAGACTCCATCTCAGGTTTAAAACTTTTTAAAAGTGGATTGGGTGCACTTGGAGAAGAAGAAAACCCTCAAGAGAGACAGAGAAGCTTGACAAAGGAAGATAAATAAGAAATGGTGATTATCCCAAAAGCCAGAGAAAGAGGAAATTTTTTAAAGACCAAAGGAAGGAAAAATGTCAAATGCCACAGAGGGGAGTTCTCAGGATGTAGAAATTTGCTCCGTTTTCTGTGGTGAGCCAAAAGGACAGTTTTAAGAGTAAGTGCTGCAACTATAAGCAGAGTCTGGCTATCAAAGAGGATGGTGTCCAATACCCAGCCCTGGCTATCAAAGAGGATCGTGTCTAACAGACACCTTCCCTGCCTGACCCTCTGAGAGCCAAGGCAGAGAGACCGAATCATCACTTGCAACTTAGTCTTGATTCTCAGGAACTGAGAAACTAGTCAGCCTTTCTGGCAGGTTTATTTTTAAAACTATCAGCTTTACTAAAGTCAAGTATGTGCCAAGCACCTTATATGCTTTAACTCATTTAATCCTCATTGCAAAGCAGTGAGGAACTGTTACAAATATTTCTCTTTTTTTTGGTTTTTTTTTTTTTTTTTTGGTTTTTTTTCCAGTACCGGGAATTGAACTCACGACCTTGCGCTTGCCAGGCAAGCACTGTGCCGCTGAGCTAAATCCCCAGCCCCCTACAAGTATTTCTCATTTTGCTTCTCTTCAGTTTCTCTAATTTTTAAAAATCAGTGATCACAAACACAGTTTTTGCCCACATACCGTATTCTAATGCTATCCCCCATCTTTGGTATTGCTCAGAATGTTTGGGTCCTGAGTCTCCATGGCCTGCTTTGATTCCTGAGAGTCAAGGGAAATTTTTTTTCTACTTTATTAAGATGCCTGTGAATTGTGTTACAATTTTCTGAAGTACGATAACTCCACCCACCTCATGTTAGTTACCCAATTAAGGAAGTCAACACATCAATTTTTTTAAAAAATGCATAATCTGGCATTCAGATATCTGCAACGTTATATTCACAACCTCTGTAGTTGAATAATTTGCTTATTGTTTTATGTTGGTAATTTTTATCTACCTATTAACGATAAATTTTTGGATGTCAGAAACAAAGCAACATGCTCTTCTCATTCCCTACAACACTTAATAAATTATTGGATACCATAGGCATTGATTAATATTTGATGACTTATTTCTAAGACTCTGAAACAAAATTCCAACCAGAGCATGTTTGTACTCTATGATGGCCTCCGTGGTGTTCCTGGCTAGAACACCAATATTAACTATATCACTCTGAGCTCCTCTCATCAAATCCTTTCAATATCCATAGAAATAGTTTATACACTGGCTGAAAAGGAGAGAGCACAGAAACTGAAATATACTATATGTACTAGTGCTCATAGAAGATCGAATGAATAAATGCTCAGCAAATGAATAAGAATCAGAGAAAAAAACCTGATTGTGAGAGATTAACAAACTTAATTTTTTGCAATTATACAAGTTTATGTATGCATTCTCCCTATGAGATTGATAGTAATGATATTACTATATTCTTAACTCGCTAAAAAATAAAACTCTGACAGATGGTGTATACATATAAGCAACTAATGAAACAGACTCTATTTTTCTCTCTCTGCATTACTCAGATTGAAAAAAATCCAGAGTTATCAATTCTTCTGTTAGACATACAAGTCTAGGCTTGTATAACTATGATTTCTGCTAACTGGCCCCAGCCTAGTATTTTCACACCTTTTTTGTACTAAATGGTTAGAGCTGATCACTCCACCAAAAGCTGTCACTGAAACATCTCCATTTAAAAATCGGAATAAGACATGTAGTGATCAGATTGACTTTTTTAAATATTATTCTACCTTTTTGCATTTCAGTAAACTCCTGCAAACATCACCCATTCGCCTTTGTATAATTATGCACATATAAATGCCAGTTAAAATTACAGAAATTTTTTTTTACTCAATTTGTCATATGTAATCACTACATTGCTAGCCTGGACAGATCTTTGGATAATTAACTGAATTTTTGTAAGTGTTATGGATTGCTCATGTAACTTGGTAAAAAGCTGTTTGCTGAAGAAAACTGAGGTGCGGGGGATGGACGGGTGGGGAAAGAGTAAAACACCAAGCTTTGCTAATAAATAGTTCTCAGAAATATCAGCTCCCAATTTACTACTTGTACACAATGGGCCAGTTGAAACTTGCATGGTGATCCAATTTGCCACAGCTCTTGTTTTTAGGCTTTGTGGAGATGCTGTGTGAGCACAGCGGGGGCCACTCCTGCGTATCCCCTGAGTCAATCAGTGGGCTTTTGTCTCCTGCTGGTCAAAAATATCAGGTGGCTTTGAGAGTCTAATTATCAATGAAAAATTAAATTCAATACAGAAATATAGCCACAAGCACCCCTCTCCTCACCCTTTCTGTGCCCTCACCACCCCAGGCATGTGATGGAGTATCAAGTTATTCCTTAGGATTGCAAAGAGATAGCAAGAGAAAAAAAAGCACGTATCTAAAGAAGCAAATAGAAGAATCAGTTTTGACTTACATACCTTTCTCTTTGCTTGGTGGAGGACCGTTCCGATTACGATGGGTGTTCTGGAAATTAGCAATTAGTAGGGTGCTCCCTCTAAGAAGCGTTAGGCCCAGCTTATCTCAACATTGCTTTATAAAATTTTCTGGGCAGAGTTTCCATCACAGATTCAATAAATAGGTGAAAGAAGATATGTTATTGCAAATAATCTCAATTTACTTGATAATCTAAACTTGCTCTTTTGTGATGCAGCAAGAGAGTTCTTATTGTTCATCAAAGTATATTCTTATCTCTGCTGAATTTAACCCAGGCAGAGAGATTTCTTTCCAGGCTGTTTGGGAAACAAGAGGTTGAAAATGCTGGCACCTGCCCCTTAACTCAGACTTTCAAAGTAGTTTCCTTACTTCACAAACTAAGTCAAAAGATAGAATTTGAAACCAGCAAAACAAAGTATAGTACAGCTTTAATTTTCTGCACATTACAAATATACTACACATCTCTTTTAAGCCTTTTCTTTTTCAAAATGATGTGCTTTGTTGATAATTACCAATTAAGATCATGTTGACAGAAATACACTACCATCTCAAAATATCTACCTTTAGCAATCTTTCTCATGTGATACCACCCCAAAAAGGAATATTAAAGTTAAAACCAACAATGGCAAGCTTTCTCATGGTGCTCAAATACTCTAATGTCAGCATACACTAGTT